AACTAAATTTATTATTTCAAGAGAGATGAGTTTTGAAAAACCCTGTACACTCTTGAACTTTCAATAATAGAGATCATGGAAATATTGTGAATTTATTTTTTTAGGTATTGTCTAATCTGATTAAGCATTTTCTTAATGTAGCCATTGTAAGTTTTTAAATTATATAGGTACCTATATAATCTTTAATTTAATAGTTACACAATTGGCTGATTTTATTGCAATACATTTTTACTGCATTCCTATTTTTTGTTTAAATATACACACCACTGATCCTCACATTGATAAGTTTCGCAAAGGTTTGGAACCTACTATTATAGTCAATCACAATTATACACTTAATATAACCAAAATTATTTGTAAATTTACGAAAAACTGTACCAAATCAATATTTTGTTTAAATATCTAAGAATAATACTGAAAAAACAGGTTAAATAGTAAAACCATATCCATTTTTGGTAATTTTAAATACATACCACCTGCTATATTTTATACGTTTTGACAAAACGATAGTCCTATGCGAATACCATTTCTGTATGAATATACCTACTGTGTATGTTCAGAACCAAATAATATGACATATTTTCAGTATTTGGAACTGGACAAAATCATATAATATATTGCTTACTTACTTTTATCTTTTCTAACATAATTTGAAATTGTCATCTAACCAAAAAATATCCTATTCTACAAATTCTCTATCTAATACATACATTTTGACAGATATCCGCTATTTAATAAAAATATCTTACCTTGAGAACCGATTTATCATCTTTTTGACTCAAAAGTAGGTAAATCAGGAAGTTATTTCTAAATCACTTTATTTCACAACTAAAGCATCAGCCATTTTGTAATTTAACTGAGGTAAATAAAGGTCGATTTGAATTATTCGAAATCCGTCGTAGCTGACTTGATAAAAAACTATTAGACATAAAAACTATGTTTACTCTCACTGAGTGTGGAATTCGATACTTGTATAATAGGCGGGATGGGTACAAATTAAGGACAACGTATATACCGGTTGTCCAGTTTATTTTTGTTTTAAATTTGAATAATATAATAATTATTATATTTATTGTATTCATGTTATTTTCCAGACGTGGTAATTTTGATGTTTTATCGGTAGAGCCCATATTAAAGTAACTTGCATTTTGTACATTTGTAACTAAAATTAATAGGGGAAATTAGGTTCCTTTGATTTCTTTATTTAATATACAAGGTGAAGCAAAATTTTCCAGTTAGATGGTTATTTTTAAATTATTACATTTTAAATTTAATAGTTTGGTGGTATTTTAATTAACGTTTCATATTATGGTAAATGGTTATTTTTAAATTATTGTTATCCAAATTTAATTAAAACTGGAAATAATGTTTGGCTAATTAACTTAGGAAAAGGTAGAGTTTTTGGTTTTTTCTGTTTCCCAACAAACATTTTGTGTAGATAACTGTTACGCTTCAATTGTATTGATGGCTATTTAACATTTATAATTATAAGGCCGGTATATATAGCTCACTACTGCCGACAGTTGGGCCGAAGTCACTTAGCCATCAAATCCAGTTAATGTCCTATTAATTGGAAGTTAATGGGAAATTGAAGGTCTTATGCCATATTAATACTGACTGCTAAATAAAGACCGTGTGTCAGGCACATGACCAGACAGGCGAATTAATAGTACCTCTTCGACCAGTAGTACCGTTTGAACTAGATATTTTTTACTAAAACAGAAGCCATTCCAATACAGAATATTGTAGAAATTTTATTTAATTAAGTTATATAATATAATAACAGAGAAAAAAATGTCTTCTACGAAAAGTACCGAGGGCCGACTAGAGGGGGGGCAGCCGGGACTAATTCCCAGGGCCCGGGCTCAAATGGGGGCCCGGCAGCGGTGGTGTTTGTTACTTTCAGAAGTTCTTGAAGACCTTTTTTTTTAGAGAAATTGTAGTAGAGGAGGATAAAATTTTGCTTGAAGACCTTTTGTTTTTTAATTTTTTATAAAGTTGTGGCGGGGCCCGATCTGGAGAATTGTCCTGGGGCCCGGTCTGGCTCTCGACGGCCCTGAAAGTACCTATATTCATAAAACATTCTAAATAAACAACCTGTAAAAGTAAAAAAGTTTTTTTTTTATTATTTTTCATAACTTTTGTTTTAAATTTTCCTAGGCCATTTTATTATCCTAATACCCTGCTATAGGAGTTTTTCAGGGTGGTTTGCCTTGATTACAATAAGTAACCTAGTTCTATGTTTCCTAAGTATTGGCTTGTGGGACCTGTGTGGCACGTTGTGTTCCCGAAATAATATCGCCAATTTTGCTATTTCCAACCTCATATATAGACAAGTCCATAGTATAAGGTGGGAAATATGATTTAGGGCAACCACGAAAACCTTAATCACGATACTGTACAAAATAGTATGTTATCTAAGTCCAGCAGATCCTGGAGTTTAGCGGTGAGGGGGAAGGTCTTGGGAGTTAGAAAGTAATCTTAGATTTGGTTGTGGCAGTTTTCTTTTCTGTTTTCGAAATAGTGGGAGGTAGCGTGGCCGTCAGGGGGTTTGTAAAGTGTCTTGTGGGTGTGTGTTAGTTCCTTTCAGCGTGTCACATTGTTTCCTCTGAGTTTAGAAACGTTTGAGAATGGGGGCGCTGGAGATGTTTTCGAATACTTGTCCGGGAGCGATATTGGCATCGTCGGAGTATACATCTCTTTAGTGTGATGAATTTGTGGGCAAGATGTGTAGGACGTATGCCATAGTGTACCGCTCTGTACTCGGCAACGGGGCGGATAAAAGAGTTGTATGTGTGAAATAAAGCTTCAAGGAGACTGGCTCGATTTTGCATCTTAACGAGATAGCGTTGGACAGGAGGACCAGTTGAGTGTACGAGAGAATCATACTCCCAAATAATCAACTTTCGTCAGTTGAGCGAGCCTGACTCCCAAGAGATTTACATTGATGTGTTGGAGGATCTGGGGAGGTTATTTGTGAGTTAGGATGTTTAAAGTTAATAAATTTTGTTTTTTGTAAATTGAGTGAGACCCACCACCAACAGATTTTGTATTCCAGTTCTTGGTTGGTCAGAATTTTTGGCTACGGAGAGCAAAGCAGTGTCGTCGACGTATAGAAGGCGTTTTAACGATCGGTGGTTTGGTGGTTTGGAGCTGGGATGTCATGTGTGTATAGGAGAGGGGCCAGGACAAAGCCCTGTGGAACCTCAGCAAGTGGGGTAAATGAGTCTGACCGTGATTCTTATTTCAGTGAGATAGGAGTAAATGAGTTTGGCTGTGCTGGGGGGCAGACCTATCTTCATGAACTTTTTTTTGACTAGTCCAGCATACCAGACTTGGTGAAAGGCTTTTTTAACATTCAGAAGAACAGCTGATAAGATTTGTTGGGAATTTACTGCAGTGACCGCAGTAGTGTAAAAGGAGGAGATTGCGTCCTGTGTGGAGTGATGAGGTCCAAATCCACTTTGGGATTGAGGGACGATGTTTCTTTCTTCACAAAAGACCCAGATTATTTCCTTGAGCAGAAGTTCAAGGAGTTTACCTAGGACCGATATGAGGGAGGATGGCATGAATCTAAGGATTTGGAGTCCCTGTCTGATTTGGGAATCAAAATGGTGGAAAGTAAAAGAATGAGAGACGGGCATTTCGGAGTAGGGTAACGATGGAACAAATAGTTTCAAGAAGATGCTTCAGCGTTCTTCTATGTATAGAATCGGGCACAGAGGCCGTGTTTTTGCCTGCTTGGCAGGCACATTGGATGTATTGGGGAGTAAATGGGGTTGTGAGGGGGTTTTCGACATCCAAAGGTGGGACTGGAGCGGCAATTGTCTGAAGCACGTTTTGTTCAGTCTCGTGTCGGAATTGCTCGTTAAAGTAGGGGTTGTTGAAGGTTCTCAAGGTGGCTTCAAGTTGTGTTTCCCTGGACAGTTCTGGTCCCATAGCGGGTCTTCGGGATCTCAGATTAGCTTCATTCAACCTTCTTCTAACTGTTCGTTCACTAACATTTACGGTCCTAATATGTTTAAGGTTATTTCTAAATTTACAGCAGTTTTGTGACGATTTCTTAGTGCTGAAGATATTATAAAACAGTTATCTCGATGAGTAGTTCTTTTCTGGGGACCAGTTCTAGAACGTCGACTAGAAGCTCCCGTCTCTATATATAAAACGTGTAAATACACATTACACGGTACTGCGTGATACCCCGAATCTGTTAGCCACGAAAATTTGACTTCTTCCGTCTTGAATAAGAGCAACAGTAGATACAACACTTTCTGCGCTTAAAGACATCTTAAAATAATTGAAAACCAAGTAATAAACATAATAAACACTTAACTTAATATTTAATGTCATCGTAAAAATCACTGAAAATGCATAGCCTACTTGGAACACTGAAGTACGGGCAATATGATAACTTTTACATTATTGAGATTTTCGTACAATATCTGGAATATGTTCAATTTGGGAAGGCATTTCATGTTAAAAAATCTTCAGGGTATTCTACTAAACCGTGTTCTTTATTTTCAAAATGTTTAAAGTCGATTTAAAAAACAAATTAAAAAATTAATTAATTTTTAACAAATATTATCATTTTTCGTGCTGGTGAGATAAACCGTATACAATTAGTCACAGCCAATACGTACGTTTATACAATCGAACGAATCCAAAACTGTCGTTCAGAAGTATGAACAACATTTGTCTTTAAATTGCCGATGGCGTCTTTTACTCTTCTTTGATCCGACCTTAAAATGTGATATAAGAATTAGTGGAGAGTTGGAGATGGAGGGCCTGTCACATCGGAGACGAACTTCCCATAAATCTTGTTCTGAAAATTTTCGAAGTCGCTTCATCAAGTGCGCTTTTTAACGTCAACGTGGATCTAACCTTGACGTATGCGCTTATGCGTTTGCTAGATGGAACGTCACGTAATATGTTTTAAAATGAGTAGAATACAAATTATTATGAATTGTAGATAACTTAATAGTTAATCGTTGGCTATGAGAATGAAACTAACATTTTTTATGAGTACATACTTACTTTTATTATTTACGTGGTAAGTGAGTGAGTAATACTATTAATACAAAATCTTTCATTTTCTTTTAATACTATTGTAGACGGTATTCAATAATATTACAAAATTATGCAATAAAAATACTAGGCAGTATTATTTTAATGTTTTTATGTATCTTCATTGTGGTGTGTCAGTAACAATTAAAATAAAAAATTATATTGTCGCGTGATCCATTTTCGACCAGTCCGGTCAAGCTCTAATCCCTTAAGATCATGTCTGCCTTATTTAGGCCTATTATGGTCTCAACTTTTCCCGTTACCAAGAATATTTAATATAGCAATTAACCTTCGAATCCCCTTTTTGATCTGCCTATGTTGGACGAAGGTAGACTTGGTCTATTAAAAATACGACGCAAACACGGCAGAAACTATTTAGCAATTTTAGTGGCACTACATATACAGAGGTCAGTCAAGGTTTAAAAGTTCACATATCTAGTTTGTTAACTATGACAAGAATTGTTATGACAATGACCAGAATTGCAATCAACATATTCATACTTCATCTCATTCTAAGACAAATCTGACATTATACGACCGCAATCATTCTTTGGTTCTGCAAAGAGCACTGCCAAAGGAATTGTGACAAACTGGTAGAGGGTAAAACACTATTCCACTATAGAGCTATAACAGGGAGAGCTATAACAGGGCTAATTCATTTGAGTAAAAATAGGACTTATGACATGAGAAGGATATATGTCTGCAACAAACACCGGTCTGTCGATTCTGCAGCATAGAAGACGAATCTACATAGGCATATTGTAACTATTGTTTAATTTAAAAATAATTTAATATTTATAATTTATTGACACTAAGTATACTAAAACACTATTTCTAATTTATTTAACAATTTATCTTTACTCGACATTTATTTTAAAACTTAACTTAGTACGGTAAAATAATCCGCTTATATACAAAAATGGAACAGCCTAGAAAAAATCCAATCATGACTAGAACGCTCGATGCTAGTCTAGAAGTTTGCAGAATACTTTCTCCACGCATTGGACTGCGTACAGAGAAAATTTCAGTTATTTCTCGAGTCTCGTGGTGGGCGGAGAGCGAAAGTAGAAACACAGACGGCGAAGGTCAACAAAAGAGTACCGAACCGGCTGAAAATGGCTTTGCACTGGAACTGAAATTAAATGGAATTGACCCTCTTTTACTACAATTTCCATTTTCATGTAAGTAATCTGGACACTGAACGAATGGCTACAGACCAGTTTTTAAAACTCGGTATCTTGGAAAATTACTTCCACCATGTTTCTAATGGTCTTCCAGTTCAGCTCCTTACACTCTATTTTTGGTATGGCTAGTTAATGTACATTGGATTCCAGTACGTGCTTCAAATTGAATGATTCCTGATAATGAAATTAAGTGGTAGCTTTTTTGACGAAAGTTTTTAGTGTTTTTGATCAGGAAATATGATGCAAACATCATTTCTACGTAATATTGCTATTTTTGTTTAACAATAATATCACCCGTTTTCGAGAAAAACGCAATTGCACAGTTCACAAGTCTCAGATGGGGATGTAAACAAATATTATTTCATTTATGAAAAGTGTGCTTTGCAGTGTCAGATTATCTGACTCAGATAATTGTGTTTAAAACATATGCCTTGTCAGTGATTTATTTTTGCTGTGAGATTATAGTCTATTATTATTATTATTTATCTTATTCCACAACAATATTTTATTAAGGTATATTTGGCCCTAATGCCATTTTTTGGATCAAATTACCTGCCCTTTGCCTATGGCCCAATAGTTAGGAATCACTTTGTGTATCTTCATTCTAGTTAATTTATTTATACAAGCACTATTTCTAATTTATTTAACAATTCATCTTTAATCGACATTTATTTTAAAACTTTAGCGTTAGGTCTTACCCGACTGGAGTATATACCTACTTTAAACAAGTCATTTCCAACCCAACCATGGCCTTAATCAAAAGGTGGATGAACTATAACAGGAGCCACCATAGATTATTGTGGATAGAAGTTGAAGAACGTGTTATTATCTCAATTCTTCGGAACCTAACCTAAATAAAACGTGTTTCCCTACAATAATGTGCTAGTTTCATACTTGATGTATCAAGTGCGTTAGGTCGCTATTGACACTTGTTTTTATTAAGAGCGAGTTAAATCGTGTATACAAACTGTGTGACACTTCTTTGACACGTTAAGACAAAGACTGCCACCATATTAATGATACATACCGTGAGGTAGGTCAAAGGAAATAGCCTTGCGGGCCTCCCTGTGACGCGTCCGGTTCTCTAAAGAAGAAAAATTTCTACCATATTTAATAGTTTCCTTATGTTGTTTAACTTTTTAGTCAGGCGATCACGTTGTTTTTGAGATCAGACGAATAAAAATTATGGACGTTCGAAACGTAGAAAGAAAAATAACTAAACAGGAACCAATAATGACAAAGATCGAACAGAAACAATTAAACTGGTATGGTTACCAAGTCAGCAAATTGAAGAGATCGGAATTGATAAGAGGAACAGTAAAGAATGGAAGAAATGGGTTCAGGAAGAGAACGAATTCCAATCCGACGCCTGAAAATGCAGAAAGATATGATAAAAAAATAGAAGAGCCGGAAGTGGCAAGTACGATTCATATCTACACCAACGGTTATAAAACAAAACAAGGCTCAGGACGTGGAATATACTCCAGATTCTTAAATCTAATCATAAAATGGGCTGTGAGCAATAGTGCCCGTGTAGTTCAAACAGAGCTAACGGGGATTCTCATAGCAGCAAAATAAATAATTAAAAACAATATCACTGGAAGGAACATGCTCATCTATACAGATAGCAGACAAGCACTACTCACCCTGAACAGACCACGAATTTACTTAGGATTAGTACTAGAATGTCACGAAACTTTGGCCGAAGTATCCATCAACAATGTGGTCACCTTAAGATGGATCAAACGTCACGCCACATCGAAAGGTAACCGTCTTGTTGATTCACTAGCAAAAAAAAGCAGCCAACCTAATACTTTTTGGACCTGATCCTTCTATTGGCCTGACAAAATCGGTAGAACATTCCCTTGTGAAATTCAAGAAAAGATGGGATGAAACAAGAAACTGAAGAGTTTCCATGGAGCTCTTAAGTTATCCTGACAACACGGCAGCAAACAAATACTTGACTATTACTAGACAGAATTCTGACTGGTCATTGCACGTACGAAAGCATATCCATATCATGGGGCTGTCAGAATCCGCATTCTCCAGAGGGTGCGAACAAGAAGGTGAGACCATCGAGCATATCCTTTACGATTGCATGACGCTCTCATTTATTAGAAGATTTGTGTTCGGCGAGTATCAGCTAACACCAGCCGATATAAGAGAAGCACCTCTTGGCGACGTTGTCAACTACATTAAATCTGTAGGCTGGCTCACGAGCTAGGAGGTACCTATCATCTCAGGAGGATGCACAATGGGCCTAATGAGGCCTAAGTGCCATGGGAGTAACCCACCCTCTACACGTTACAGATACAGATACAGATGATAAAGAAAGATATTATAATTACCTTCAATATTTCAATCAGGAATTATCTACACTCACCTACCTTTTCTACTCTTCTCACTTTTAACGTAGGTTGAATTTTTTTAATCTTTTTAGATAGCTAAAAGTAAAGAGGTATTGGTAATTAACGACCGTTTATGCTCTATTTGTGTTTGTAAATTTCCACGCCTATTACCAATTATAATTAACGCCCGTATATCTACTTGTAACAGTAATTAAAATAAAACTTTTTGATGCGATAATAAATTTGCTATTCAATGAAGTGTCGCTAATAGTTACGAGAGGAAGCCATTTGATGTTTTGGATTTGTTTGGCTCATTAGAAATTCAAAATATCCGCTTGCTAGGTGGATTATTTGTGGTCGTGATATTTATTCTTCAGTATAATGATACATGTTTCTTTCTTGGTCAGTCACGTTAGTTAATAAAAAATAGTGTAATAAATAATAAATTGGGGTTCAATTTTTAAATAATATAAGTATAATATAAAATGGAATAATATAATTTTACATACTAACACCGTTGATAATTAAACCAGAGGGAGCTTGTATGTTGGGGCTGCAGGGCTACTGCCCCCTCCCCCAATACAAGGAGTAACCAATTTATATAAATAAAAAATGAAAATGTAATATAAAATGAAAATAGGGTATTCTAGCATGCAGAGTACGCAGTTTGCAAGGATCCGCAACGTAAATATTTTTAAAATCTACCCCATAGCGATACCTATTAGTGTCTCTTCACACTTTGCTTCTATATGTCTTGCTGCATTTGTCCAAGGTCGACTCAACCCTTAAGGTACCATTTCGGTAGGCGCGACAGACGACCGCCGACGCGACATACGACCGCCGACACGACCGAGAAGTGTCGCTTCACATCTAAAATACATACAATTATATGAAACACATTTCGCACGACGCGACACGACCGAGAAGTGTCGTCCTGGAAACACTTCTCGGTGCAAAGCTTTGCTGCGTATCGCACTCGAGGTCACTGTCCTCGGCATCGCTTTTTTTTGGAGTGATTCGGTCGGAAATTTCTTTCGATCTAGGCAGCGTTGCCAGATTTTAAAACAGTATGGGTAAAAAAAACCGTAGATCTGAAGAGTAGATTTTAATACAGGGGGAAATAATTAAAATTTGCAGTGTAGTAAATAAAAAAATAGGTATATAAGAAACGAAAAATAAACTTTTTTCGACCCAAATTAGAAGGTAAACAAAGAATAAACACAAATAATAACATTTTTAATATATACTTAACGTACGGAAACAAAAAAAAAAACAATGAAAAATAATAGGTACCTACTTCTTTTAGATCAGTCTGAATCAGATAATTCAAAATCGTAGTGTGCATGTTCTTTTTATGATGCCCTATTAATTCTTTGTTTCATTTTAAATAAAAACAATGATTATCTTGATGTTTTTTTAAGGAGCCAATCTAGAGTAGTGGATGCTTATTACGC